AGTAATATCTAATGACATGGGCTCTTCCACCCCACTGCTATATTAAAGTATCACTTTGTCTGTCTCACTCTGCTGTTTTCTCAGGCCTGGTTTTATTTAAATGAGAAAAGGAAAAAAGAATGGAAACCCTCAATAATACAGACACGAGAGGTGCATTAGAAATGCACTAAGACAACTGAGATGATTAAATAGCTAAAGATGTTCTGTATGAAAATGCAACAAATGCAATTGCTCTTTCTGTTAATACTCTCCTAAGAACAATATTTCCCTATACCTTTGTTCTCTGCCGTCTTCCTTCCTCCCTCTGCTTTCCCATAATCTTTAACACTAACAGGCTAATTTAGACTCTTAAGTTCCTTGGAGAAGGGACATGTATTCCTACTTGTCTGTACAAGATAATAACATTCTCCTTATTTCCTCAGTGACACCATGTCCACTATCGATACAGATAATATATACACTGGTTTGGTTTTAACTTAAAAAAAAAAACCAAAAAAACAAAGCCCTAGTGAAAGCTTCTCAAATCTTGATGCTCAGCTCTGCTGAAACCACTATTACTTCCCACTCAGTTTTTCATGACCTGAAAGGAGCAGACACTTGCAAAGGTGCTGAAGGAGGCGTGGGTTTTACTTCATGGAATGTGAGTATCCAAGAGCTGAATTCTCTCCCAGGGTAATGAAATTTCATGTGTAGCATTTGGTGTTCTGGGATTCACAAAGGTTATCAGCCAGGCATTTATAATAAAAGTTGTTCCTGCTTTCCCTGGCGTGCACTGGGAAGATGGTAGCGCTATCAGTTTGACATTTCTGTCAGAACTGGTATTTGAACCACTGGATGATTCTGACAAATGCCATCGCTGTCATCGTCTGCTCAGTTTTAATTATACCTGACTGAAGCTTTCAATGGCGGCAAGCAGAAAACTTAATTAGTTGGTGCAAAGGCTGATGTTCAGAGCTTGAGGAGTCCAAACAGCTTTACAGCATTTATGTACAGTATCTGCCATTTTCAGCCTGACAATGTGAGTAAGAAGAATCAATGGTTCCACTCATGGAAAGAAAATACAGAGAGAAAAAGACTTGTAGGAATATATGTCAACAAAACACGCCATTCCTGTTTATGACATGTCAGAGAGCCAGCAAATTTTGCTCGTGAGGCAACTGAGTGTATAAGAAACTTCTGTGCTGAGCTGTGGAAGGGTCCAACAGAAACATTACAGGTATGCAGGCAAAATACTATATGTTCATGGGAACATACAGCAAATGAACATCTGGTACCTTAAAATACATTCAGCAGTGGATTGCAAGCATGGCTATTTGAAAACACTGAAATGCAGGCATTTCCTCACACATCGATGCACTGTTTAAACAAGCTGCTTAAAAGAAGATTGCATTAACAATTGCTACTACCTCAATGTTTGCTTTCAAGGTGTTAATATGATTATACTTCTACACTGCATTTTGGAAAAACAAGCATTAGCAACATGCAGTGTCAAACTGCTAATATGATGCAATTAGAAATCAACATAACGTTCACATGCTGGTTGTGGGTTGCCTGTAATTTTTTTTTTTGTCCTAGAAGCTACAGTCCTTCGGATACTTAATGCAGTTGCTCCAGTGGAGTCAGGCACTGTAGATCTCCTCTGAGGAGAAGGGCTTGACTGACCTCTGGAACTGTATTGGTATCACCTCTATGTGTAATCGCATATATTAGAACTATTGACCTAGCTAATGTTAACAACCGACTGTGCTTAATTTCATAATTAAATGAACTGCAGTCATGAGCCCACAGTAAAGCATAACCTATACAACCCACAGGCCTGGGTAGGACTCATCTGCACTAGCAAACTTTGTAACTGTAATGGTACAAAAACTCATGGTAAAAAAACCAAGCTAAGATATTTATGTGGCCCCCATCACCACAATATTTGAGCTCCTCTCAGTCTTTAATGTATTTATCCACACAACTCTCCTGTAAGATAGGGAAGTGCTATTAACCCATTTTTACAGATGGGAACTGAGACAGACTAACGCACAGATCCTCAGAAGTACTTAATCTCAGTCCCTGGCTCCCCATACAATGCATGAGGCGCATTTGGTGCCTAAGAAAGGAATCCTCAAAAGCCAGCATCTGAATGGGGAACCTTCTAAGCTAACCAGGAGAGCAATGCTGAGGGCAGGGGCAGGGAGAGGAGAGGCGAGGCACTTAGGAGGCTAGCAAACACACTAAAAATAGTGGTGACAGGATTGGCTAACCACCTTAAGTGCAATCCCGTGTCCCTAGGTATGAACTTGAGGAAGTTAGCCCATGCCACCACTTGTGCAGCCACAGCTACATGCCATTTCTGGTGTTCTAGCTCACACACAGCTAGCTGGTATGTCTACCTGAGCTGGGAATTGCCCCTCCAATTCCAGCACAGACATATTAATGGTTGTCTAAGGACCTCTGGAGTTAAGCAGCAACTGAGTGGCAGTTCTGAAAATGTCAGTGGTGTCTAAATGGTGGACTTAGGTGCCTAAAGAGGCAAAAAGGCACATAAATACCTTTGAGGATCTGGGCCTAAGTGCCATGCTCAAGATCACCCTGACAGTCTGTGGTAGCACGGGAACTGAAGCTTGGTCTTCTATGGCCTAGGTCAGTATTATTCTAACTACTGGAGCATCCTTCCTCTCTAACATGGTGGCATAAATTCCTGAGCCCAGTTTCCACTACAGCCCTACCAATAGAACTGAACCCATAGTGAATTAAGGCTATGAAGTTTGCTAGTGCAAAAGCAGCCGTTTGACTCTGCTGTCATTGTCACTCATCTTGCTAATGCAGTTACCTGTCTGCTGGTTTTACACTGAAGAGTGCTTGGGTAAAATATTAACTAAGAGGATCCTGAGAACAGTCTGCCTGCCTCTAGCAAAGGAAACGATGTGTGTTTGCCTTTGAAAAGTCTCATTGGGGTTTCCTTTGTGAATGGTTGTAAATTGCTTACTGGAACCAAAATGCCACTTTTTTGTTCAATTTTTCCTTATTTTTACCCTGGAGAAGCAGAGCTGGGGATGATTAAATGGCTAGTTGTGGCTTTCTGACTTTGAAAGAATGTCTGTACATGACTCTATTCCTGCACACATATTCAGTAGCTTCTGAATAAAGTATTGTTCAGTTTCACTGACTGAGACATTCATTCTCTCATTGGAGAGGGTTAATATACAGTAAGTCAGCAAAAATTAAAAGGTATTTTGCTTCTCTGTGCAAAATCTTTTCATTTTGCGGAAAGACAGGCTAGTCTGGGGTGGGCAAACTATGGCCCGGGGGCCACATCCTGTCCTTCAGACGTTTTAATCCTGCCGGGGAGCAGGGTCAGGAGCTTGTGGCAAACGGGGCCAATGGGAGCTGCAAGGGTGATGCCTGCGGATAGGGCAGGGCTCAGAGTCACCTGATCATGCCTCCATGTAGGAGCCAGAGTGGGGACATGCTGCTACTTCCGGGAGCTGCTTGAATTAACTGCAGCCCGGAGCCTGCACCCCTGACCCCCTCCCACCCTCCTGCACCCCATAGCCTGCACCCCCAGCCAGAGCCTTCACCAGCCCAAACCCCAACCCCCTGCCCCAGCCCAGAGTCCTCTCCCGCACCCTGAACTCCTCATTTCTGGCCCCACCCCAGAGCCCGCACCCCCAGCCGGAACCCTCACTCCCTCCCACACCCCAACCACCAATTTCGTGAGCATTCATGGCCCACCATACAATTTCCATACCCAGATGTGGCCCTAGGGCCAAAAAGTTTGCCCACCCCTGGGCTAGTCCTATGGAACATCTTTTGGGGGCTGGGGATGCCAGAGGTGATGATGTTGCTTAAATGGGACATTGAAGATGAGGAGTAATTGTGATTCCTGGAAATCTCTTACCTTCCACTCCAGCCTTTATTATAGCAAAACTTCCAATGAACACCTGTTTGTCCATTTCCTGATCTCTAGTGAAAAGAGGTATGAAATGAACAAGATACCTTGTTCCTTGTCTTATCACTGTGAAAGTGGTGTGGCATTATAAATCACATTTAAAATTAAATGAGGTGAAATACCAAACATCAAGTAAATATAAAACCTTTAAAATAAAATGATATAGATGACACAAAAGTACAAAAATTGTTACCAACATGAATAATTCACTAACTATTGCATGGTATAAGTCTCCAACTAATATGCACTGTGTGCCATTTAATAGTGGCTGTATCAGAAGAAATATGGAAATTGGAATACTTTAATAACTTTCTATATGAAAGATGATGAGACTGCCTAAATGATTAAGAGGAAGATATGTTATAATGAACTAAAGCCACTCGAGTGTAAGGTAATTTTAATTCAAATCTCCATCTGCTTATGTATAATTAAGACTCATTTAACAAGTTAATGCCTAACAGAGAGAACTGATAAGTTTGGTATTAAAGAGCTTAAGAGAAGTAAATTAAACTGTCGAGTTTGAGGAGCTTCCCTTTTAATTTCCTACACCTGAACCAAAACACGATCTTTCAGAGGGCATTTCTTTACCCTAAGCATGCAGCCAAGTGCTAAACTTGAAGAGAAAACGGAGGGAAAAAATGGAATATCCTTTTTATATTTTAATTTCTGCTATCATGTCTTGTCAGGGGGTTGACAGCATCTTTGCTGACATGAATATTTATACATTTCAACCTCCTCACTGTATAGCATCTATACACCATTAAGAAGATACTTTGCATGCCATCAAAAATATTTATGCATTGCAGAGATTGCCAGCGGGGTTAAATAACCTATGAAAATAAGAGGGATGCCTTTGAAGTGCAAAAAAGTAATATTTTGATCTGTGGTAAATTTCATGTGATATTCCCCAGCTCAACTTTCTATTTCATTCTTTTTACAGATATCTCCTCTAGAAGGTCCAGCAGTCAAACCAGTGACTTCAACCTTTTCATCTTTCATCATACAATGTTAATTCTTTTTTTTTAACTTCTTATCCACTATCAAGAGGAGAGTTTCATATATTCACTTCATACTTAAAATTCTCTCTACTCTAGAATTTTTTCAGCAGAGCCAGCCATTTAATCTGCCTTCCTTCTAGTACTTACCAATAAGTTAAACATTTTTAGAAATGTATTTGAAGAGCAAATACTGGAGTATGTCCAACTGCAATTGCAGGATGGTTATTGACTTCAGAATTAAGACAAAACATTCAGGTTGTGACATTTGATAGGCAACATACTGCCTCATTGAAGCAAGTGAAATAGGACATAAATGTAACATTTGCAGCTTGCTGGTTTTGCATTAGCTAAGGTACACTTTTCTATACCACTTTGATATATATAAAATCATAGGAATGCTATGCAAAGATGTATATAATTTTTTCCGAATAATTCAATCTCCAACACAGTGCAAAGAATACATTCTGCATTTGAGTCAAATTATGGTCAATGGGGCTAATTAAAGGTCAACAGAAGGTAAAGTGTTCCTTTGTATAAATGTCTAAAAGATATAACAAACCACTAATGTCCTGTAACAAATCCTTCTTTATTACTACAGCAATCACTTTAATATTTGTGTGTGTCAGTTTATGTAGTACACAAGTGGAACAGAGGTTTTAAATGGTCTGGCCTTCTCTCAAAGGGTTTAATTTACTGCTGTATGGAGAGGCCACACAAAACCAATGCAATGCTTAAATGGAATGAATTTCACCTGATGTGCAGAAAATATATGCAACCTAATCTCACTGGTGTAAATTTGCTGGCTATTGATGGGGGAAACAGACATTTGTGTCTATTAGAGAAGTAGTTCTATTAATGTCAATGAGATGATCCATGCCCCAAACTTTGTCCATTTCAGAGGAATTCCCCCTCCCTTAATATTTCTTCAGCTTTCCTGGACACTTAAAAAAACCAACATTTAAGGCGCAACAGTGCCAGGAAATTCAAAGATAAAACTGAATTACAAAACCCAATGAAATGAATATGGCGTTAAGCTCAAATGTATGCATCGAATAAACCCACTAACTAGGCTGTGGGGGAGATTCAGCACATAAATTAATTTGAACTAACATTTCAGAAATTCCATCGTCTTATCTGTGAAATTCTGTTGATACTTCCAGGTTCACTGAAGAGATCCCAGAGTGCACCATTCTGTGACAGCTCAGATATGTTGGATTGAACTGAGACGTCTGGTATTTGGGATGTGAGTGAATGCTTCTTTCTTGGGCTGTTTGCATAGCTTCAGTAAACGAGGAAGATTTCAGGGGGAGTGTCAGGGAAAGAGTTTTAAAAGGCTAGTTACAACTTCATTCAGTGTCCCCTATAGCCTGGTTAGTGGGGACAGGCAGCACATAAAGCTGGGCTTAACTCAATTTGCAGCTTTCCAGTTCACCTTTAAGGTTAACATTATGTCTGTAACTCATTGCCACTGTACGTAGGAATTGCTGTGAGGAAGGTATGTGAGATTATCCCTTCCTTTCAGCTACTGCAGCATTGTGGTGAAGTCTGTATTTATAAATATCTGCATTTTGTATTAAGGCACATGAGAAATCCTTATCACATGTCATTGTAAAAATGGTTACAAATGGGCACAAATAGCCAATGAGTCTATATCAGCTAAACATAGTTTTAATCATTTGTATCAAAATAATAGTTTTTGTCCTTTTTGGTGTAAATGTTTTAAAGAGTCATCTGGATATTCGTTATCTTTGCCTCAAGTCCCCAGACTTTTTGTTCCCACGGAAACACTAACTGTGTGTATTTTAGTCTTCTGATGGCAACAATCATACCATTTCTCCAGGAGAAAGATGCAGGAAGGCAACAAACTTGAGAATTCCTTGAGAAATACTGCAAGTGCTACGGCATGGAGAGTACATGCAGCGAGAGCCCCAGAATGCAGCATGGGAAGCCACAGCACTTGCACAGTGTGTTCCTAGACACAGTCCTGCCATGAATGCAGAGGACTGGCCTAGATGACTTCTCCAGGTCCCTTCCAGTCCTATGATTCTATTCTACACTGCACCAGCCAGCTATCCATCTAGGTATTTACATTGCGGTCATCATGGTAGAATCTGAGCACATGAAATAAATTACCATACAGTACAGCTCCCAAAGCACCCAGTCCCACTCATTTGTACAACTGCAAAAACCTTATGTGATATCAATAAACATTTTCAAATCTCTGTAACTTAGAAAGGGTCCAGATTGTTGTTTTCAGATTTTGAACCTTTGACACATTTACTGTAATGTCCATAGGGCCAGGAAGGGGTTAATAGTGTGCTAAGATATTTTTGTATACTTGACTAAGGCCAGATCATGGCCTCCACATAAAGACCTGAGGAAGGGCCAAAGACTAGTGGAAAACCCTTTCCACTTGTGGATTTTCTGACAAATCAGGCCCAAGGTGAGACCACGGAGGGTAAAAAGCTGAATATTGCCACTGGGTGTGCAAGAATTATTCAAAGTTGAGCTGCAGAACTAGGCACTCGTAGTACAGCCCAGTAGATCAGCTGTTAGTTGGATTTTGAAACTATTGACCTATGTGGGGAATAAATAACTGCAGACATTGTCCCAACAACCAGGGACAGGCACTGGGGAACTTAAATGCCAGCCCAGTCCTAGTCAGCCACCCTCACTGTTACTGAGTGGTACCATTGATTTCAGTGCGACTGCTTGAGGAATTGGGTACTACTCCCAGTGACTAGCATAGCAAAATCCAGCTCACAGTATACAGCATTAATTTATGCAGCGCAGATTCACATTACCTTCTAGAGATGTTCTCCAGCTCACATCTTCTCTACTCCCAAACTTCTCTGAGCCTCTCGGTGCATGGAGTTCTCACATGACCTCGGCTTCCACGAAGTCAGAAGGAGGGGGAAATTATACTACTTAGGCACAAATCCCCTCTGTTCGATAAGTGCTGTGGCCATTTGGAAAGGTTTTCCCACTCATTTTAGCCCCCCGATGCCTAAAAGTGGAAGGAATTATTTGGCCTCAAACGTGTAGTGATAGCCACCCAGGCAGGAAAATGAAAAAAATGATTTTGCTCTTACTAAACACTTCAGCTGAGAGGCTTTTTATAAGATCACTTATGATCACTCAGCAATCCACTTTCTCTTCTACCAGACATTAATGAACCTGGCTCGCCTTTTCCAATTAACAAGAAGGTGGTTTTAAGGCAACTGCTCCGTTTTGCTTTAGCCAATCAGATTCTGCTTCACGTTGCATTAATTTTCTCCTCCCCTCCCCCAGAGTGTTTAATGAACTGAAGCAGAAGTAAGTTCATAAAATGTATATTATCAGAGTACTTAGCAGGTACATTTTCATAATTAGCAGCTTAAAGGGCCCACATAAAACAAAACCTAGAGTAGCTGCTTACCTTTGATGTGAAATATTTAACACAAGCGCCATGTAAGACACAGAAGGGATTGTTCTATAACATACAGATTGAGCAATGTGAGATGAGGTTTAGCAGCGTGAAAGATGCTTTTCTTGCTAAGTCAATGTGAACATTTTCCTGCAAAAAAAGGACAAATTTCTGCCTTGTGCAAATTCAAAAGGCAGAAATCACCACTGCCACTGCAAAAAATAGTGTTCATGGGCAGAAGTGGGGCATTGATGCTCTGAATTAGACTTGCATCTCTTCTTGCCAATATCACTTTTCCCATTTAAGTCGTACTGAAAACTGGTGTCACAAGTCCTGTTTCCCTGGTCTACACTGGGGGGGGGGGAGCGGGCGAGTCGATGTAAGATACGCAACTTCAGCTACGGGAATAGCGTAGCTGAAGTCGACGTAGCTTATTTCAACTTACCTCCCGTCCTCACGGCGCGGGATCAACGGCCGCGGCTCCCCCATCGACTCCGCTACCGCCGCTTGCCCTGGTGGAGTTCCGGAGTCGACGGGAGCGCGTTCGGGGATCAATATATCGTGTCTAGATGAGATGCGATGCGATATATCGATCCCCGATAGATCGATTGCTACTCACTGATCCGGCGGGTAGTCTGGACATACCCTAAAGTAGCTGACGTTTCTCACTACAATGTGCTCACTAAGGGCCTGCTGCTCTGAGCCACAGTTCCCATGGAAGTCACTGTAATTTGCCCTTACACTATGCTATTATTGTGTTGTGCTCTCTCACCAAAGGCAGAAAGTTGCCGTCTCAAAGCTGTCACATCATCTCTCCTTTGCACATTAGCCAGCCTCTCACAGGGAAAGTGATTGCAGGGAATTATCCTGTGCTGGCCCTCAAGAATAGACTGCATGGTCTTTTTGATCCTTTCCATCTAGAGAGAGAGAGAGAGAGAGAGTGTGTGTGTGTGTGAGTGAGAGAGCGAGAGAGAGAGAGACAACTTTACAGAGTAAGGACAAGGTTAAGTGTATTTTGACAGTGATGTATTTAAAAGATTTTGGAAGAAAAAAAATACTGTTTTCCCCTTAAGAATCATTTGCATTTCTGAGGAGGTTCCAATGAGCCCAGAGATTTCCACCTGACTCATGGACAATAGTGCTCCTTAACTGGTAGGGATGTCACTGCTGAGTGACACAAGGTATTCCTTCCAAACAGGGCTCAGTGGTTGGATCTACGCGACTCCTGGCCCCCTCCTGATCTGGAGATCAAAAAAATCAAGATTTCAACCCAGGTACGCCACTTGGCAAAGCAGCCAGCCCCTAAAAATGTCATTTTAATGAATAAAAATGGCATTTCTTTGCTGGACTGTGGTTTTATCACTATTTCTCCTAGATCATAATCAATCTGTTGGAGGCAGAATGGGGATATTTTAGACACTGAATAATTTTCCAGCTTCCAGAAAAAGATATAAAAGGTATTTGGTAGCATATGTTTCAGTACTAGTGAAATAAGAATTTAGGAATGAAAGTATACAGGAGGGGGAGCTGAATGGGAAGAACAAATACTGGATAACAATTGGCTTCTTTTACAGACAAGTGTGAGCTAGTGAGAATTTTCTGGTCCTTGCTTATCTAACTGAAAACAGCTACTTATGGAGGATATTTATGTAGATTAACTAGATATTCCTTTCTGTTTTTAAATTGTTGTCTTTTGTGGTATAATGATTTGATCATATTTGGCCAACTTGTAAACTAAATTCAGTCCTTGACTCCAGAGACAGGGCTGTGAAGAGGTCTAGTGTGGCTACTGGTTCTGGTTAGGAGGAACAGAATAGCAGGTAATCACTGCACTATTCATTGAAATCAGTCTGTCTCTATAAAAAACAAGGTTCTAACCACCCCCCCCACCACCACCACATTAACAATTCTTCATCAGTGAGATCAGAGACTGAGATTCCTCATACTGTTTATTCCAATGTATGTTTTTTTCCCAAGCAACAAATGTCATAATTTTTAACACCAACACATATTAAAAGAGAAAAGACAAAATACATGTTGTCTCAGATCTTGAGAAAAAAAAGACACTTCTGTTAGTGAAAACTAATTTCCTTCTAGAAAGGAACACAACAAGAAAAATGTTTTTCAACTGAAAAGATACTTTATTCTTAATATACAAAAGTGGACACATTTCTCAAATACATGTGAATGTATGTATGTTATTCAATGTCTTCTATTCCAGAATCAAGTTTTTCCCTAGTCTGATACAGAGATTGCTATGGCAATTACTGATTTTTCTGATTCCTGGAATAAATTTAACAATGGGTAAAATTTTAAAAAGTGCCTAAAGGCCAGACTTTTAGAGGTATTTTGCCACCTAAAAATGTAGATGAGTGCCTAATGGAATTTTCAAAAGAGCCTATCTGTATCTTTATGTCCCTTGTAAAGTCTGATTGCAAGTGATTTAGGTGTCTAAATCCAATTTTCAAACACACTTAAAATTACTTAGGAATGTAAGTCTCATTTGGGCCACCCCCAAGTGACTTAGGAGTTCTTTAAAACAGGATTTGAATCTGCTAAACCATTGAGGTGCTTTGGAAAAATTTTCCCATTGACTGTAGGTCCACCAAGTATGGTAGAAGAATCAACATAGTTTCTATATATTTTAAAGGTGATCTGCAAGGGGGAAAAGAAACTAAGACGAGGCTTTATTTTTCTTCTTTTTGATGCATAAGGAAGATCTGAAAGGGTTATTTTTTAAATTTTGTCTGCTTGTTCTTTATGTTAGTAATTCAGGTCCTGTCTAGCCTGAAAGACTCTATGGGCTTGTCTATACTACCTGCCGGATCAGCGGGCAGTGATCAATCCAGCTGGGGTCGATTTATCGCGTCTAGCATAGATGTGATAAATCGATTGCTGAGCGCTCTCCCGTCGACTCCAGTACTCCACCAGAACGAGACGTGCAAGCGGAGTTCATGGGAGAGCATCAGCTGTTGACTTACCGCAGTGAAGACACCACGGTAAGTAGATCTAAGTACGTTGATTTCAGCTACGCTATTCACGTAGCTGAAGTTGCGTGTCTTAGATCGACTCTGTGCGGTAGTGTAGACAAGCCCTATGATGAGTTAGCCTTGGTCTACACTATACAGTTAGGTTGATGTAAGGCAGCTTATGTCAATCTAACTATGTCAGTGTCTGCACTACAGCCTTGCTCCCACAGATGTAAGTGCCCTACTATGTCAACATAATAACTACATCTCCATCAGAGGGTAGGTCTTAGGTTGGTGTAGTTAGGGCGACACAGTTACTATATTACTTACATCGGCTGTTGGCTATCATTCTTGTCAATTTCACGGCTCCAGAAAGTCCTCCCTGCTCAGAGCCAGGCTGCACTGAGGCTCCAGGCTCCCCGTTGGGAGCCCAGATGGCTTCCTTGCTCCTGACAGGGAGATGAGATTCCAGGCAGCTGCCCCGGTCCCAGTGGGGAGCAGCGAGGTGAGAGCTGACGATGGGCAGTCGGCGTTCCTGGCTGGAGGCAGGGAACTGAGAATGGGGAGCAGCCGACTGGGAGCCCAGGAGCCGACTGGGAGCCCAGGAGACAACTGTGCTCCCAGTGGGGAGTGCGGAGCTGGAAGCCTGTCATGCTCCCAGTGTGGAGCATGGAGCCAAGAGTGGAGTGGAGGAGCCGGGCTCCCAGTGGGGAGCAGGGACAGCTGGCAGGGAGTAGGGACTGGGCTCTCAGCTCCCCACACTGCCCCTCTTAGGTCAGTGGAATAGCTGCTGGTGAGGATGCACACCACCGACCCAAGCAGAGTAGTGTGGACATGAACCGTTGCAGTAATTACTGCGGTGGCTGTAGTCAAACTAATATAGATCGACTTACATTTTTAGTGTAGACATGCCCATGGAGAACTAGTGAAATTATGACATATGAGCTAAAAAAGTGAAAGTTGAGCAACTGAAAGACAAAGGATTTTTAGTCAGACTGTTTGAAACTGTTTTGTGTTTGTTTTTTGTTAATAACTTCTGTGAGTCATTAACATTTTGAATAAAAGACATTTTGTTAAAGATTCAGGAATGTTACTCCTTCAGTTAAGGTGTGTGACTCAAAATATACATCTCAGTATCCTTTAGGGGGCCCTCAGCAAAATCAGGGAGTAGAAATGCCTGATATTTCTAAAGTAAAAAAGCAAGCAGGAGAAATCAAATTTAAAAAATGCCCAACTTTCAAAAGCCCTTTTTATAAACCATAAAGAATAAACAAAAGGCACAGCCCAATTTAAAACACCCCTTTACACATCACCTTTAAGTCCTTATTTTAATAAACATCTTTCATTTATTTCCTCATTGACATGCAGTTACATTGGGAGGCCCCCTTTTCAGCTGATATCCTCAGTTTTGGTTTGCTGGTCCTTTGGAGGGACAGCATAGAATAGCAAATCATTCTCAGTTTTTCTTCATACCACCCCTTTTCGGTGAAATATTTAAAATAATGACCTCTGCCAGATTCATATGCCATATCTGGCTCAAGATAGCACTATGATCTATTTGTGTCTTTCATGTTTGGTTTCTGTAGAGTATAGCTTGTAAGCTCTTTTGGGGACTGGCCATGACATATTTGTTTGTAAAGCACCAAACATAGACAGTGCTTGAAAAGTAACTAAAATTAATACAAGGTTGAACCTCTCTAGTCCAGCACCCTCGGAACCTGACTGGTGCCGAACCAGAGAATTTGCCGAACCACGGGAGGTCAATATGTAGCATGTGGGTCTCTTTTTATTTTTATCTCGCCGAGGTGAATAAACGGAACAATGCTTACAACACCACCTAGCCAAGGCTTACTGGCTCTCTTCATAACAAAGTATTAGTGATGTTCCACAATTTTACTGTCTTGGCACAAGGAAATAAGTAGATAAAGCATAAAAAACAAAATAAAATCATGTCAGACCACGGATGTTGCCGGACCAGAGAGGTTCAACCTGTACTGGTAACAGGTCAGGGAACACAGCAAAAATATGGGCTTACTCCATTTTTTGCCTCTGTCTTCACGAACAAGGTCAGCTCCCAGACTGCTGCCCTGGGCAGCATAGTATGGGGAGGAGGTGACCAGCCCTCTGTGGAGAAAGAAGTGGTTCCGGACTATTTAGAAAAGCTGGATGAGCACAAGTCCATGGGGCTGGATGCGCTGCATCCGAGGGTGCTAAAGGAGTTGGCAGATGTGATTGCAGAGCCATTGGCCATTATCTTTGAAAACTCATGGTGATCAGAGGTCCCGGATGACGGGAAAAAGGCTAATGTAGTGCCCATCTTTAAAAAAGGAAAGGAGAAGGATCCAGGGAACTACAGGCCAGTCAGTCTCACATCAGTCCCTGGAAAAATCATGGAGCAGGTCCTCAAGGAATCAATTCTGAAGCACTTAGAGGAGAGGAAAGAGATCAGGAACAATCAGCATGGATTCACCAAGGGCAAATCATGCCTGACTAACCTAATTGCCTTCTATGAGGAGATAACTGGCTCTATGGATGAGGGGAAAGCAGTGGATGTGTTATTCCTTGCCTTTAGCAAAGCTTCTGATACGGTCTCCCACAGTATTCTTGCGAGCAAGTTAAAGAAGTATGGGCTGGATGAATGGACTGTAAGGTGGATAGAAAGCTGGCTAGATCGTCGGGCTCAACGGGTAGCGATCAATGGCTCCATGTCTAGTTGGCAGCCGGTATCAAGCGGAGTGCCCCAAGGGCCGGTCCTGGGGCGGGTTTTGTTCAATATCTTCATTAATGATCTAGAGGATGGCATGGACTGTACTCTCAGCAAGTTTGCAGATGACACTAAACTGGGAGGAGTGGTAGATATGCTGGAGGGTAGGGATAGGATACAGAGGGACCTAGACAAATTAGAGGATTGGGCCAAAAGAAATCTGATGAGGTTCAACAAGGACAAGTGCAGAGTCCTGCACTTCAGACGGAATAATCCCATGCACTGCTACAGACTAGGGACCTAATGGCTAGGTAGCAGTTCTGCAGAAAAGGACCTAGGGGTTACAGTGGACGAGAAGCTGGATATGAGTCAACAGTGTGCCCTTGTAGCCAAGAAGGCTAACAGCATTTTGGGCTGTATAAGTAGGGGCATTGCCAGCAGATCGAGGGACATGATCATTCCCCTCTATTCGGCATTGGTGAGGCCTCATCTGGAGTACTGTGTCCAGTTTTGGGCCCCACACTACAAGAAGGATTTGAAAAAATTGGAAAGAGTCCAGCGGAGGGCAACAAAAATGATTAGGGGGCTGGAGCACATGATTTATGAGGAGAGGCTGAGGGAACTGGGATTGTTTAGTCTGCAGAAGAGAAGAATGAGGGGAGATTTGATAGCTGCCTTCAACTACCTGAAAGGGGGTTCCAAAGAGGATCGGTCTAGACTGTTCTCAGTGGTACCAGATGACAGAACAAGGAACAATGGTCTCAAGTTGCAGTTGGAGAGGTTTAGGTTGGATATTAGGAAAAACTTTTTCACTAGGAGGGTGGGTTACCTAGGGAGGTGGTGGAATCTCCTTCCTTAGAGGTTTTTAAGGTCAGGCTTGACAAAGCCCTGGCTGGGATGATTTAGTTGGGAATTGGTCCTGATTTGAGCAGGGGGTTGGACTAGATGACCTCCTGAGGTCCCTTCCTACCCTGATATTCTATGATTTAAGAACACGTGGAATCATAGCTCAGGTAAGACTCCTATTCTGACTTCTGCATCAATAAGAAATGCAGGATCAGGTCCATTTAACATAATTTATAATGGGATAAAGTCAGAAGGAAACTTGTCTAATCTATATGAAATATCATAATGAATTGTGCCCTGTGTCCTTGAAATCTTCATATATCCTTCAAAAATCATGTATGTGGAAATAATTCATTCTGTAATCAAGCAAACAATTAAAATCAAAGAACCCTTGATAAAGATAAGCAATAATTTATTCCTCTTTGATCTTCACAATTATCACATATTAGCTAGCTACATGACCAATGCCACTACATACCATGGGAGAATTGCCCACTTACACTTTACTTGGACAAATACAATTGCAATTTACAGGTTAAATGTACTGTACAATGGGTTGTTGGAAAAGGGTCATTCTTAGCTGTACAACAATACGTGGCATGTGACTTATTAACAGATGCAATATAAGGTGTAAAAATTGAACTGCTTGTTATGCCAGTAAGTAAGGATACTGTATAAAGCATTTTGTTTTGGTATTGTATTGTTACTAAAGTAGAAAAAAGAAAACTAGAGAAATAAATCCAGATCTTAACTTACAATACATACATTAGGGTAAGAAATTAATTGTCTCCTCCATTTTTTTATTTTCTTTTTCTTTTTTTATAGAAATGAATATTATGAATATATTGCAGAGTAAAGAAAGATTGCCGGCTAAAGAAGGTACCATTATGTGAAAAACAACTGAAAAATTATCAAGTAATTTTGCTTACAAAAAAGGTCAAACTATAAACAGTCACAAAATATATAAAAATGCCACCTTGAACGAGGCAATCGTACTCTACCTAAACTGGTAGTATACTCTTTGAAATAGTTGTGTTCATACAGTAGTAACTGATAAAAAGGCATTGTGCACTCTTGTCCCATCTGGAGACTTAGCACCATGTGTCATCAGTTCTTGGATTGTCATCCAGCTGTCCAAGATTTTCTTGTTTCTTTTTTTCATCATCTTTTTGTGACTAAGTTCAAGAATGTTAATTTCTTTTTTGCCCTCACTGCCGCTCTGTGGACTTTCCTTAAGACACTCTAACCTGCTCCGCATCATGAACTCTCGCCGCCGCCTCTGCTCTTTGGCTCGCACCAAATGCTGCTTCCGCTCCTCTTTGCTCCAGTAACGACCCATCTTCATTTCGCTCATCGTATCATCATCTGTCGTCATCCCACTGCGCTCCTCTTTAATCTTTAAGGCACGTTCCTTCAGGATTCTGTCTCGCACTGGTCTCTTAGTGATATACCTTGTTCCGTCACTCCTTATTTTCACTTTCCATTCCATTTTGGGCTCTGTACACTTCTGTGAATCTTTGCACATGCTCACTAGACTGAGCTGACTTTGGGCATACTCCACTGCGGATTTCTGTTGGATCAGCTGCATATAGCTTTGATAATGCTTTGCATGAGCAGGTATATTCCCATACCGGTATGAAGAGCTATGATACGGAGATAGGTAAGGAATGTGCTCAGTGCTTTGCTTCTCCTGGTCTGTGAAATTGCTACTTTCTGCAACCGTTTCCTTCTCTTCAACAGTGCTGTTTTGCTCAGTGGTTTTGGATGGTGTTACCTCCCTACCACTCTGTCCAGGACACAACTGATTAGCTACAATTGTGCTTCTCAGGTTTTTCCTGTTGGTGATGCTGATCATTCTCTGGAGCGAGCTATCAGGGGACTGCTCTACAGTCAGTGGAGTGCTCCTGCAGCTTTCTGCTGTGTTGTAAGCACTAGAGCTGTCTTTGTCAGATTTCTCTGGGTGCTCTATGATATCATCCAGTTTACCTCTTTGTACATCTACGCTGGTGTTATAATTCCTGAATCCTCCATCATGTAATGCCCAAATGTCTCCATACTGATCCTTCACCTTTTGAAGCCTGTGAGCCTGCATTATATTCTGACACTCAAGCTCAATATTTCTCAGTTCCTCATTGAGTAACTGTAGCTCATGCTCCACCCCATCTTGCTCCCTTCTGTTACACTGTATTGTACTGCTCGAGTAATACAGATCATACTCTCCGTGGTTTCTAATCTTGCACTTGAGCTCCAGCAGCTGCCGGAACCTTTCACACTCCTCATCTTGGTTTCCAATGAAATCAGATTCAATGTATTCCCCCGACACAAAGCTTTCATTGCACTGGAGTTCAATGCTTCCTAACGTATCCTGGCTCTGTCCCAGCTCCCGGGTGCTCCGCAGTGTCGTTTTGTTCTGCTCATCGGGTGCATTCTCCTGCTCTGAGCTCTCGTCATTACGCAGACTCTCATCTGTAGGCCCCACTCCACTGTCCTTCTCATGGTTATTGGATGACGAGGTTGCAGTGTCCGTTGTGCCGTCCTCCTCCTCATGCTTTTTTGGCTAAGAAAATAAGTGAACCATAATTAGTAGAAAATACAGACCGTATTAAATTAAAATATATTTTTCAGTCCTGTGCTTCTTAAACAACTAATTTAATCTATAAGAATGAATTAAAATGATGAATAAATCTCATTTCTACTACAGCTGGCTGGAAGATGGAGATCCCTTTTCATGAAAAATTTCACATTTTGGAAAAAAAAATTCAGCCTGATTCAGCATGAAAAGTCAAAAACATGATTTTTTTCCACAGAAAGGGATTTCTACCTTTCAACTTGCTGACTGCTTATCTGGAAGGATCTTGCATTTCACTTTCTCCCTGCAGGTGGAAATTGATAAAAGCCTTCCCGCAGCGGGCAGCCAGAGAGCTGTCATTTCAGTTTTCCTGATGGGAAATCAAAATTTTTCAGCAAAACCCAGCATTTTCTGTCAGAAAATCATTGCTGAGGAAAATTCCCGACTGGCTGTAATTCCTACATGCTTATGGCTTTTACACATTCCTGGGCATCATGCTGTAGGCTCCCCAGATCACGCTACGTTCCTCAAGGAGGGAGCAAACAAGTGGATGAAATATAGCACACCTGTTTCACTGAAACATTGCCCAGAGTCAGGAAATAAATATCCCCCTCCCAGCAAAGCCAACACTGTGTGGTGCTGAAAGAAAATGAGCACCAGGTGGAGTGCGGCTTCTGGCTCTGGATTATGGCCACGACTATTGGAGCTGAGTTGTTGTCAAACCAGGAGCAACCAGCAATGCCTGCATAACATCAAAAAGTACATGAGGCAGACCACCTAAGCTGTGAGCAATGCAATGTAGCATGGCACTAGGAGGCCTATTTGCAGTAGGACACTGGGGCTGGGATATCAGGGATCTCTGTGCAAACTGCCCTGGCACAGCTGAAGACAACACAGTGGTTAGCCTATTCTTGCATAGCCCTTTCTACCCATCCCATCACCTGCTTTTAGCATTATGTCAATGGAAGACTGATAGCTGAACTCTAGGACTTGTTCAGGTAACTTGAACAGACTTTTCCCTAACCTATCCTTTGGAAGGCTTTTCGTTTCCTAGTTAAAATCTACTTTCCACAATACTAACCCATAGCCTTTCACCATTAAGGGCTGGTCCACACTAAGCCCCCAGTTCGAACTAAGATACGCAACTTCAGCTACGTGAATAATGTAGCTGAAGTCAAAGCATCTTAGTTCGAACTTAAAGGTACTTACCACGGGTCCACACGCGGCAGGCAGGCTCCCTGCCTGTCATGGACATAATGTTAAGCCTTTTGCAGTTGTTTTTGAATTCATGTCCTACTCATTGTACCTAACCTATTTATTGTGTGCTTTAATGCAAAGAGCATTAGATACTGCAACGCTGAAGGGGTGCATGCTTTTTTCGTTTTCTAACTGGGTGTGCTAAAGGCATTTCCCCCTATTTCTCTTATACCACTATCATCCAAAGTGCAATTTATATAGCATACTCACTGTATGCCTAAGTGCACCCAGCACCAGCCAAATGTGTTTTCTCCTTTAGGAGGTGTAATTACACAATTAAACATAATGGTTAATAATAGTAAAGGGAGAAAAAGGTACAGTGCATCAATGAGAGGAAACAGAGTGCAAGAGACCACTCTCATAATAATTGCTGTTTTTCTTCTACCTTGATAGATAGTGGAAGATATGAAAAAAAATTAAATGCACCCTCACACACTGCATCATTTCTGCTTCAGGATCATGAACCCCTCAACTAGTCTCTTTTGTTCAGTTGTTAGTAGAAAATGGTGGCAACTGGTGGCCCAATGAAAAATAGAAATAGACAAATAGATAAATAAATAAATGAAAAGTGTGGTAGAGGATATTAAATTCAGAATGAAACCCATGATCAACAGAAAGCAGTTATTTACGACAGGGCTGTCAAAAGTCTCTGAGGAGACAACATTTCTATCCGTAGTAATTTTAGTGGTTCTTTCTCACTAGCAGTTAAAACTTAAAAAAAACAGTTATCCTTCATACTGACATTGTATATTTCACACAAATATACATACACTCAAAAACCATATATGTGATGGTGAAATACAAGCATCATCGTGTGACGGCGGCCGACTGGTTCATCTGCATCAGAAAAATATTTCCTTCTTTCTTGCCCACCACCCACACTAATCTTCCCACCAGAATTGAATTGGTTTGAAGGGTAGACAGAAAATATTCAATCCTGGACAGCGGACAAATTTAAGTCTACTATTTCATGACCCTTCATGGTCAGGATCTCGTGGAAGGTCCCAGAGTGCTGGAACTTAAAATTGCAATATTATTATGGACAGAGAAGTGCTTCACTGTAAATTTAGAGATTTCTAAAATTTAAAGGTATGTTTTTTCTTTCTGTCACAGGTCTTTACAGTTACACTAATAGCAACTAAGGAATCCTGTCTTTACAGGAAGAAGGGACAGGAAAAATAGTACCAATAACACTTAAAATCACACTGAAGCACTTCTAAAATTGTTTTTACTCTAAGATGTGAGGCATGCACACAGATTACATACTGGCAGGCTGCACTGCTCTATTAAGACTTTGTTGACACTTCTTTGAGATGTAAGCAATGTTACCATTCCAAATGCATGCCAATATACTGTTTTTACTGCACCATCATGTATTTCTTGTCTATGATGTTCATTTAATACTTCTTTCTTTACTCATTTGATGCATGACTGTGACGGAAGACTTTTTAAGACTTGGTAAAATTGTGGCTAAAGTGGCTAAGTGATTTAGGGACCTATGCTCCATTTTTGCAAGTGACTTAGACACTTAGAAGCCTAAATCCAGTGGGACTAAAGACCAGATTTTCAAATGTCTTTAGGTGCTTAAACATGCAGATAGGTGCCTACTGGGATTTTCAAAGGGCACCTAACTCCTATGGAAATCAATGGAAGTTGAAATCAATAGGAATCAGGTGTCTAACCTGCTTAAGCAGTTTTGAAAATCCCACTAGGCTTCTTCATTAGGTGGCTAAATACTTTTGAAAATCAGGCCCCATGCCTCTAAGTTTTTGAATTAGTAGATCTCATCCTCTCCTACCTGGCTTTTATTCTTTGATTGGAAAAGGAAGACAAGCTTGTCCCCCTTTTCAACTTCCAATTCATTTCTCAACTCTGAATACACTAGTTCAAATGAAGAAACAATCTCTCTACACCTGCTAGCTAAATTGAATCCAAAGGTTATTAAGGTAAAAGATTTTCTGAGCAAGAGTAACTGAAAATACTGACATTTGGCAAATTTTAAATACAAACATTTGCTCCATTGTGAAGAATGAAAATAATGTAGATACTTAATGCCATATTTGACATACAGTACCACTGGGACTCAGGTTCTAAGTGTCTAAGTCACTTTTGAAAATAGGACTTAGGCTGCTAAATCCCTTAGACATTTTTGAAAATTCCACCCATCATCTATTGAAAATTCAAGATTCAGGTTTTTTAGAATGTACAGTGTCAGTCTTCTTCCCAATTACTTCTGTTTGAAAGGCCAAAAGGCTCTGTAGGCTGCATTTATGCAAAAAGAACTGCAGATGATGACAATCCCAACCTAGTAGTGCATACAATCCAGCAATAAGTGAACTTCAAAAGGTTCTATGTTTCAGATTGGATAAGATTCAATATTGCAAGAATGGCTAATCATGCTGGAATGCAGGCATGGTTCCCACTCTGATTTTACAACTCACGATACACTTGGGACATAAACCCCAGAGTGCTATTTAAGTTGGAAGCAATCAGATAAGAGAGATCCAGGGGAAGGGAGCAGGGTTAGTAGGGCCTGCTTCTCCAAATCAGAAGAGTGGGCTACCCGGTCCCCCTACGAAGATGAAAGCGAGACTGACAGTGGTGTGAGGAGTTGCCAGTGATGGGCTAAAGATGAGATACCCCAGCCTCGACTGGAGTTTTAAAAAATATCCCGGGAGTTTACAAAAAAATTAAAAACTTGTGAAAATCAGTGCAAACAATTAACTTCACCGTTTTCTGGGTAAATATCAGGGTTAATATTGGGGGGCATGAGGACAGAAAAAAGCAACAAATAGAGAAACGTAAGTGTTTACTATTTATGAAACCATTATCTCAAATCCCCATTACAAAAATTCAAGTTTTTTAAAATAAAGAGTTTAAGGAGTTTCAATAGCATCGGGATGGGATGGGACGGGAGTGCTTGGCACTCATCGGCAGGTAAGGTTGGGAGGAGAAACAGATCAGGAGGGGCCTGTTCTCCCAGGTGCAGCCTCCCTCTCCCTGCGGCCTGTAACTGCAGCAGTTGGTGGGTTTGGCAGGTTCCCTGCCCATTTTGTTTCTCCACTGTGCAGCCGCAGCATCAATCAAGTACAGTTTCCCTTCCCTATGCAGGCATGCTGTGCTGTCCAGTGGGAAGCCTGCAAGAGGGGAGCTGGGATTGCAATTTTGAGCAGGTAAAAATCTGGGTGGAAACTGGAAAAATCCAAATACTGGATTTTTTGAAACCCAGGAATTTTTCAGGGGGGGGGGGGAAAGGAAAATAAATGTTTTATCTCTACTTCAATGACAAACTAGATGGGACTCTTAAAATAGGTCTGTTCTGAAAACATCTAGTCTGACATCCTGCATAACACTGGCCATAGAACTTTCTCAAAATAATTCCTGTTTGAACTTGGGCACATCTTTTGGAAAAACATCCAATATTGATTTCAAGATGTCCAGTGATGGAAAATCCGTCATGATCCTTGGTAAATTTTTCCAATGTTTAATTACTCTCACTGTTAAAAAATTATTTCCAGTCTGAATTTGTCTAGCTTCAACTTCCAGCCACTGGATTGTGTTATACTTTTGCCTGCTAGACTGAAGAGTCCATAATCAAATATTTGTTTCCCAGGTAGGTACTTCTAGACTGTCATCTTGTAATATACATAGTACTATATAGTAGCAGTGCACTATATAAGGCAGTAATTTACATAGCAATATATGTACCATATCTTGTACAATATGTCCATATTGTCTTTATCACAATGGGGCCCTGTCCTGGCTATGGCCTTGACAGGTGACTCTGATATAATTCATAAATAAAAAGTGACAATACACAAGACCCTGTATGTAAAAGGGCTTGTAATATTGTGCTGAGAGAAAATGCAGAATCAGTGCTTTACTCCTTTCACATTCTGCTAAAATGTTACCCTCTCAAATGCAGCCTAAACATTTATTTCTAAAATGTTTCCTTATCGAGAATGAACTGCAGATCAGAGCATCCTCATGACAAAGTGCTATCAGAGCCTTTGATTTCATTTTTTGACTTATCATTTCATTCTCTCTTAATAGAAAAATACCCCTAGCAAAATTTCCAATGATACATTTAGTGTCACTCCTACCTGCTCCACCTCATTGGCTGTGAACTGCATTACTTCATTATGCTGTTCTTCCAACATTTCCAAGTTTAACTCCTCTAAGAATTCATTCCTTTCATCATCCAGCCACCCTTCCTCCAGCTGCAAAAGAATACATTAGTACATTGCATTATGTTAGTGGGGATGCATGCTAAAATAGGGTAAACCCAAATGGCAATGCCTGACTAGTTCTTTTTATCATAATGATTCTCTTCAGAATACCAGGCTCCCATAGTTTGCCTCTCCAAAAAGAAGAAAAAGATGATAACAAAACAAAACACAGGGACTCTTAGGCCTTTTATCCTTTCTTGAAACAGTATGACTGATTTTCTCTCATAATGAAGGAGATTGCACAGCACAGAGCATTATTTCCTTTCGAAATGTATGAAAGGCATACCACGTAATCCTGGAGCTGTCATATTCATTACCTCCAAGAGCCCCAATGTTAAAAGAACTGCAATGATACTAATAGGGCCATGAGATAATTGGGCTCTTTCCTCCTTTAACAACTTCCACCCCAGGGTTGTGTCCCAGTGCCTGAACCTCAACAGCACCTTCACACTGGGTTTCCATCACATTTCTCTTACTGCTCTTCCACGTGAATGAACTAACAAACAAAAAGGGGGTGGGAGCACTGACTGATGCAATGACTAAACTTCTTTGTTCTTTGGCTCTATCTTTGAACTGACTTTTTTTTTTTTTAAAGATTAAAACATTACTTTCATATTCGTTGAAGACAGTATTATAAAAAGAGGAAAATGGAGGCCTACTATTTCAGTCAAGTTAATGAGATGTGGCTGTACACACATACAGTATTATGTGCATGGGCGTGTCAACAGTAAGTCTCCATTTGTGTTTCTGTTCCCTTTCCAGATGGCATGCTGGGGTAAAAAAGGAAAATACTATCACTAGAAGGGGAATGAAGTAGTGTTGAATGCCTGCTAATGGCAGTGTTTTAGGGGCAGAAACAGGTAACAGAAGGAAGGTGACAGAGCTGGGGAGGGCAGAAATTAAAATATTAATTAAACTACTCTAGCGTCTGAGAAAATATCAAGTTACCTGTAAAATTGTATGGACATCACAGAAGCTAGAAACAGTGTAATTGTATGCAACAATGCAACATAGAACTAAATTCTTTTGTGTTGTAAACAGGGACAACTCAATTGAAGCCAATGGACCTTTGGCCCAGAGATACTAATTGGTTAAAACAACAAGCAAGCTAAAAAAAAAAAAATCCCTCCACAAACCAGCCAAACATTAGACAGGTATAAAATGTTGATTGACATTCTGTGGCACTTTTTACCATATTATGGTATCTACTTAGAACATCAATGTTGAGGTTTCATTCATGGTTTTTCAAATGCTTTTATTTGTTAGGTATAGTCAACCCTTTGACCTTATAAAGAATATAAACTCCCAAGTTTCACAGCACAAGCAAACCACTAACTGCCTTGGATTAGGAAGAAATTTCCCCTATGGGCAGATAATTCAGCAATTGTCCTTCGGAGGATTTTTATAGCTTCCTTGCAAACATCTGGTGCTGACCACTGTTGTGGACAGGATACTGCAGTAGATGGAGCACCGGTCTGGTCTGATCCAATATGGCAATATGTGCACTGATGCATGTGCGTGTGCACACACACCTTTGTTTCACACGGTTATTTGTGTATGTTTCTTGTATGCTCAGTTTTTAATATTAACTGATTAATAATCAATGCTAACTAGTCAGAGAAGCTTGTCTTGTTAGTTATTGGATGTGGCCAGCAGTCAGTCCTTGAAACAGTGCCACTACGAGTTCTTTCTAAAAGAAAGCTTCAAAGATTAGGACTTAATCCTGCCCTTTTTTCTCCAGTGAGTGTTTGCCTTAGTAAGGGCTTGTCTACAAATGAAAGCATTACCAGTTATACCAGTATAATTATAGTTAACTATAATTATACTGGTATATAGTTAAACCGATATATTATACCAGTATAACCCCCCCTTGTGGACACTCTTATTCCGGAATAAGTATGGCTATTTTCAAATTTGCTTAACCCCCTTCCAATATGACATAAGATAAACTGAAAATTGGCCCTCATATCTTGGAATTAGAGTGTCCACATGAGGACTTATACCGGTATAACTAGATCAGTTTAAACTCACATCTTGGCTTGTACCGGTATAACATTCCGATGAAGACAAGCTCTGAGGAAGGCGGGATCAGATCTTTTGTTGGGTTTCTACAACTGGGTCTGGCAGGTGGATCCCTGTCCCTGCAAGAGCCCCACTGAAATGAAATTAAAAAAAAAAAGCTAGAATCCTCACACAAATCTTTGAAAAGCTTCTGAAGGGTCTCTAGACCAAGAAGGGATATAACCTAGCTACTTACACCTGAGGTGAATAGCTTAACTCGGCCTTAATATATAGCCAGTTTTCTAGGAGCCATTTAGAAAGGCTAAGAACATAAAGGAAATATGCAAGATCAAATTTCAGCATATAACTACAGGATTCAAGCCGGGATTCTGGGTGACACTGAATTACATTTATTCAATTTAATGTGAAGAGAATATGTAGTCACCAAGTCTGAAAAAATCAGATCAATAATATGAGAGACAAATGGTAACATAACCGACTTCGCTTGGACTGCTGACAGATGGAGAGAAGAGTGACGATGTAATGTCCTTTTCTGCTTTGTGGTGGAATATAAAAGGAAGCAGAAATAATCCTCTTTTTCCTCTCCTTTACCTTGATGATTAGCCTGACCTCTCCCACTGCAAAGATATAAAAAAATTTCTTTGCAAGGCATTGGTTTTGTTTAAAAGCCGGAAGTATATTTTAAAATTGTGTGGGAAAAATATCTATTTCCTATTAAATAATTTGTACTTGACGAGAAACCTCATGTGACCAGTTTCTCTTGAAAACAGTTAGATAGGAGTAGGTTTGCTGAATAGCATTGTCATCAAATGCCCATTATCAAGATCTAACTGGAGAGTTTACTGAAACATTGCTTAAAAAAATAATCCTCATCCAGGGCCCACTTCAATCCTGCCACAAGCAGGTGCAAACCATGGAAGAGTGTGAATTTAGTCCCAGAAATCAGTAAGAATCATCAACCAATAAATATGTCTTTTTGAAGTTCCACTTCACATTTAGTTAAGTATCACATTAGTACTAGATAATCAACTGTATTTATATGTATGTATATTGTATTTACTTGCAAAGAATCTTTTAGCAAGTACAATAGTAAACAAACTCCTAGTAATATAATGTTATTTTTTTCCTGAGGCTACAGATTGGCAAAGATCTTTAATTATATTTTTCTCATTTTTTTTCATGAACCTCCTGTTTTTCAGTGTTCACTTCTTATGGATGACAATGACTGTACACTATAACCCAGCTCCTGGCTCAGTGCATCTATTTATTCTAACCTGCATCTCTGGTCTTGCAACCAGCAACACAATTTTCTTGCATTCATCACTGGAGAGCAATGCCACCGCCTCCTCCCGATTCTGGACATCTTGGCCATTTATCTAGAAAACAAATGAAAGTGGCACATTAGTTTCCATTTCCACAAAGCAACACACAATAAAGGGCAAATATCAGCTCATTTGTGGTAAATGTATGGACAATGAAACTCACACAATGGGCTCATCTTCAGCTCCTCAGTGGTAAGTGCCTTCACTCAATTATGCGTTTACTGTAAGAGCTGTATCGATCGTTGAAGGATGGCAGACATCAGAGGAAGCAGTTATGTTCATAAATGTCCAACCTGCGCCCTAGCAACATACATCTAGCAACACAATTAACCAGCCCCTGACAGGTGACGTTCATCTTTCTCCGTTCAGAGTAATGGAAGTGTCACTCTGAGATAATAGTGCTGGTGGAAGCAAGACTGGTAATACTACAGCTGAAATCAGTCATATTGTATGCTTGTAGAGAGCCAATTAGAGAGCTACAGTATTATCTCTCACCAGGCAATACTTACAGGCCACTGCTGATTGCTATTTCATTTAATCATTTTATATTTGTGTGTGAGACTTGGTGTCCAGAACCACACAAAACATCCCCATTGGGATAATCAAAATAAAAAATGAATCATCTGTAAAAACCGGTTTTCTCTCCAACTTCTCTCTGCAATTCTGCCTTTGTGTTAAAAACAATCATACGAATAACTATACCTTAATGTATAGATTTTACAGGCCCATTCAACTCTACCTAAAAATGCTGTTTAAGAAAAATCAAGTTTCAAATACAAAGCATTTTTTCCCCTAAAAATAACACACTTTGTTTGTTTCACAGCACAAGTGGATTTTCCTCACTGTGCCAAACTGCATTGTCAAAAAATGTTTAATCCATCTGTAAAGTAATGGGGACAGGCTGGAGGGCAAAGGATTTTAATAATTTCATAGAATAAAAAGGTTTTCCCATATCCAACCTGGTTAATCCATCTCCTTTTGCAGGGGTTCAGTTTCAAAGCTAGTAGCAGGAACTTCCTGGTAGAAAAATACCAAGCAAATGTGCATGTGCACCACCTGAACACATTGCTTTGAAAAACCAGTTTTAGTTTAGACTAAATAAAACCACAGATATGCACTGAGTGTTTGCTTGGTTATCACCAAAATCTTTGAGATTCCTCCATGGAGATGTGGAGGGAGCAAAATGTGCAAGAGAAATGATACCCACTTCCTTGTACACAGCTGCCCTCATCAATATACAGATACAGGCATATACAGAGACCAAGGACCAGATGCCTCAGCTAGCGTAAATTGGCATAGCTCTGTGGTACCAATGTCAGTTTATAACAGCTGAGGATCTGGCCCATAAGGTCTCAGCATTCATCTTGAGCTGAGCGGCTTAGTGGCTCAAGACAGATCATTACATGCTAGAACCTGTAGTAGCTGCAGGCTGCACTATCATAGTAAAGATAAAAGTGACTCCAATATGCCTCATTTTATCACCAATTAGTTGCCTATGTGGCCCTCATTTATGCAGAGTTTGATGTCCACGGATGAAATCAAACAAGGACTAACCAAGATCTATGGGATCTTCCTTGTACAGTCTATTCTCTTTATTTTACAGTGCGTGCTGTGTGAGGTAAACGGACTATTCTCAGCTACTTAAGAAGACTATATAGGAGACAGGAGTTGCTGTATGTAGTATGCTAGTATTTGAATTATCCGGGAAAACATGAGGAAAGCTGCTGTATTACTGTGAAAAGTATAAAAGCAAGCATCCCCAATGCTGCATTCTCCAGACCTGAATGCAATCCCTTTGTAATGATATTGTCATCTTCCATTTCTCTGAGTTATCTCATCCATAAGAGTGGATGGAGGGTCAGTGTGCCATCGGCTATGAAAGAAAACCCCACATAACTCACTTGGTGTTAATCTTAATGATCAAACTTCTGGCTGCATATCAGCACTGACATTCAAGTAATGCTATTAGTCTACAAAAATGCAATAGAATTACCTACAGTCTTCTCTTACCTCTGGAGTCTTCACTCACAAGTGAATTGAGTTTGATGGTCTCAAACTAATATCTATTAGCTGTCTGCCTATACTGTGCCTGGCACTATAATTCACCCAGAAACGTTAAAAAGAAAAGAAAGTGGCATGGAATGAATCTATCATCTACTTAAAATACATTAAAATGCCTTAAAGATGGGAGTCCAGAGTTTTAGTCTTGTTGAAAAAACAACAAGAATTCATTTCAAATGTAGTTTTTATTAAAAAAAAAATAAAAGGAAAATCACCAACATATGTTGTTCATTGTTCTTGGAGGACTGATTATAGACAGATGTAGAAGCCAGTTCATTTGCTTTTCAATTCCTGATCATATCTCTACATAATCTCACCAAACTAAAGGACTGTTGTCCTTTTGCAGTTATACAAACATTCTTTGTGGGCAATTCTAATACAGTGTAATTTTTTTTTTTTTTTTTTTTTTTTTTTTTTTTTACACATTCTGGACAATATAGAAAATAAAATAAGAGCTCCTAAATGAGCCCTGACATCAAAATGTAACTTATTTCCTTTTTGAAATAAAGGCCACTTTAGACAGCCATCTTGTAGATCTTATTGTGCGCTGGAGATTAGTTTGATTCCCAAAGCCAATACTGAGATAAGAAATATAGCTATGGTTTTCAGCAAATATGTTTCCTGTGGAAATGGAAAGATTGGAGGGATGGAATCAGATTGATTTTGCAAAATTCAGAAAACTCATGTGCCTAAATTAATTATTGGCAGTTACAGAGCTGTTTGTGAAGATGCAACTTGCCATTACCAGCAATTACCACTAGGGGCATTTGTAAAAAGAGGTCGAAGTACAAGGAAAGTTGCCTTGAAATGAAGGGAGGGAACTGAAAAACACCAGTATAACAACAAGAGGAATTCTGAACTTCTGATTTTGGTAGTGGCAATCCATGATTTCTCTAAAACTTCCTCTCTGTAAGTCCAAACTGAAATCCACTGTCATTCTAGCTATTTTCCTCTTTTTACAGTTAAACTACCCTCTTTCCTCACCTAAATACCTACCCATAATTTGCCCTTTGACTGAGCTGGGAGGAGATAGATTTCATTCGAGCCTGTAAGACTTTCATTAAAGGGACACTCTCAGATTCAAAAATCTTTGTCCCAGGAGGAAACCAGCTTCTTTCAGTGCTGAAAACTTGTAATCAAGTCATTGCCCACTCCTGACTTTGCCTTCCCCAAGGTTGGAGTTTAGTCTCTCTCCCAACACACCCATTATTCACTGTCCCAGCCAGTAGTTTTGAGACTAGCAGGTCTTAAATAAAAAGGGGGGGTTACATCACAATTTTGTACAGTAGTTCAAACTAGCTAATGTGTAATGTCTGCTTGTTAAAAAGAAAGTGAAACACATTCCTTTTTGAATACCAGTTTGGCTAACATTTCTTCTCATCCCAAACACACACAAATCAGTCAGTTCTCCCCTTAAGTACCCACTTGTGAATCACAGGACTGGAAGGGACCACGAGAGGTCATCTAGTCCAGTGCCCTGCACTCATAGCAGGACTAAATAGATCTAGACCATCCCTGACAGGTGTTTGTATAACCTGCTCTTAAAAATCTCCAATGATGGAGATCCCACAACCTCCCTTGACAATTTGTACCAGTGCTTAACCACCTTGACAGTTAGGAAGTTTTTCCTAATGTCCAACCTAAACCTCCCTGGCTGCAATTTAAGCCCATTGCGAACAATTTTTCTCCCTCTTCCTTGTAACAAACTTTTATGTACTTGAAAACTGTTATGTCCCCTTCTCAGAATGGGAGTGTTGTTGGTTTGCCCATTGCCCATAAAATATTATGCACCTAAATCTTCAGTTTGTCTAACAAAACACTTGTAGGCCAGCTGTTGGGCTACAGAGTGCTCTTACTACCTGCCCACGTTGGGCCAGCTCAGCTGGGTTGTATAGCCTGGTGGGGGCCCAAATCTGAGGCTCTGCTCCTTCCCCAAACTCTTTGCCACTTGCTTGAGAGGGAAGGGGAGACCTATGCATAAATCCTCTGTGGTCCTCACACAGTGCTTCCATCTCTCATGATTTTATTGCAAGTCCCACGATATTTGCTGTATTTCTTAATGCCTCAACTCCTGGAGTTAGGTGAGAAAGTCAGTTTTCATTAACAACCAGCATCAATTTCTCCCCCTTCTGGTCACAAAGGAAAGCTTGAAAATGTGAGCCCAAAGGCTCCAACCCCAGAAGGCAAATAAAAATCGACCAAAATGTATTATTTTTAAAATTTTGTGATTTTAAGGCTAATCTCATGATTCTGGGGGGAATGACTCATGATTTTTAAACACTTGGGGTTGGCAATGCTCTTCACTACATCTGTAAAATGTTATTTGGGCAAAAAAGATTGAGCAGAATCTATTTAAATAAGAGATACAAGGTACCTTTTGATAGAACACAGGTACAAATACTGTCCTACTTAGTTTCTAATCTATTTTACTTTCAGGTTCTCATGTATTAACAATACTGAGTTGTGAACCCTCCAGAGGGAATATTTGTTTCCACTGGATCTTAAAAATAATAATGAAAACATGTTGGTCTGAGGAATTCTAAAAAAGCTTATTTTTATAAAGGCTAAGTCTGGGGCCAAATTTAACCTCAGAGTATCCCTTTAATGCCATTCTGTTGTTCAGACAGATTTTCTACAGCGGCATGACTGCCTATCTCCTGTATTATTTGCAGTGTTGGGAAAGAAGAACCCACAGGTTAGTTCCTTAACATGGAGAACATAAGAATGGCCATACTGGGTCAGATCAATGGTCCATCTAGCCCACTATCTTGTCTCTGATGGTGGCCAATCCCAGGTGCTTCAGAGGGAATGAACAGGCCAGGTAATCATCGAGGGAGCTATCCCCTGTCATCCACTCCCAGCTTCTGGCGGTCAGAGGCTAGGGAAACCCAGAATATGGGGTTTAATCCCTGATAATCTTGCTTAGTAGCCATTGATGGATTTATCTGCCTTGAATTCTTTTTTGAACCTATTTAGATATTTGACCTTCACAACATCCCCTGGCAATGAGTTCCACAGGTTGACTTTGCATTGTGTGAAGATGTACTTCCTTTTGTTGTTTCAAGCTTGCTGCCCATTAATTTAATTGGATAACCCCATGGTCTTGTATTAGGTGAAGGAGTAAATAACTTTTCCTTATTCACTTTCTCCACACCTTCATGATTTTATAGATCTCTGTAATAGTCCCCCTTAGTCATCTCTTTTCCAAGATGAAAAGTCCCATCTTTTTAATCTCTACTCCAGGGGTAGGCAACCTATGGCATGCGTGCCAAAGGCAGAACGTGAGCTGATTTTCAGTGGCACTCACACTGCCCAGGTCCTGGCCACCAGTCCAGGGGGCTCTGCATTTTAATTTAATTTTAAATGAAGCTTCTTAAACATTTTAAAAACCTTATTTACTTTACATACAACAATAGTTTATGTTATATATTATAGACTTATAGAAAGAGACCTTCTAAAAACGTTAAAATGTATTACTGGCACGCGAAACCTTAAATCAGAGTGAATAAATGAAGACTCGGCACACCACTTCTGAAAGGTTGCTGACCCCTGCTCTACTCATATGGAAGCTGTTCCATACCCATTATCATTTTGGTTGCCCTTCTCTGTACTTTTTCCAATTCTAATATATGTTTTCTGACATGGGGCAACCAGAGCTGCATGCAGTATTCAAACTGTGAGCATACCATAGATTTTATATAGTGGCATTATGACATTATCTGTCTTATTATCTATTCCTTTCCTAATGATTCCTAACATTCTGCTAGCTTTTTTGACTGCTGCTACACATTGAGCAGAAGTTTTCAGAGAACTATCCATGACGACTCCAAGATCTCTTTCTTGAGTGATAACAGATAATTTAAATCTTGTCATTTTGTATATATAGTTGGGATTATGTTTTCCAATATACATTACTTTGCATTTTTCAAATAGAATTTCATCTGCCATTTTGTTGCCTAGTCATCCAGTTTTGTGAGATCCCTTTGTAATTCTTTGCAATCTGCTTTGGACTTAACTTTGGAGTAATTCTGTATCATCTGCAAATTTTGCCACCTCACCTTACCCCTTTTCCCAGATCATTTATGAATATGTTGAACAGCACTGGTGCCAGTACAGATCCCTGGGGGACACCACTATTTACCTCTCTCCATTCTAAAAATGGACCATTTATTCCTATGATTTGTTTCCTGTCTTTTAACAGTTACTGATCTATGTGAGGCCCTTCCTTCTTATCCCATGATAGCTTACTTTGCTTAAGAGCCTTTGATGAGGGACCTTGTCAAAGACTTTCTGAGGGTATGTCTACACAGCTAGACACTCCCAGCTGGCCTGTGCCAGCTGACTCAGGCTTATGGGGCTCGGGCTGCAGGGATGTTTTATTGCTGTGCTTGGGGTGGGGTTCTAGGTCCCTGCAAGGCGGGAGGATCCCAGAGCCTGGTTGTCTACACAGCAATGAAACAGTTTTGCAGCCTGAGTCCTGCGAGCCTGAATTGGCTGGCATGGGCCAGCCACAGGTTTTTCTTTGCTGTGTAGATGTACCCTGAAAGTCCAAGTACTATTTATCCATTGGATCACCCATGTCCATGTTTGTTGACCCCCCTCAAAGAATTCTAATAGATTGGTGAGGCAAGATTTCCCTTTACAAAAGCCGTGTTGATCTTCCCAACAAATGGTGGTCATCTGTGTGTATGATAATTCTGTTCTTTACTATAATTTCAACCAATTTGCCTGGTACTGAAGAACTACTTGCACAAACAATGATTGTACTTTTTGTGAATATCATTTTGTGAGAGGGCCTTGCTAGATAAATATGTAGAGAGAGCTGACACTAACCACTCCTTAGGCTTCAGAGCATTTTTTATTCCTGCTGTTATTGTTGAAGGCAACTGATAGTGAGGCCTGTTGACAGGCACTGTGCTTTATTTGAGAAATGCAGCTCAAATCTGGAGGGGCAGAACAATCTGAGGGCTTGTTTAGACAGAGCCGCAGTCTGGACTACAGAAGTTTGAATTGCAAAGAGCGCTAATATATTGTGCTCTAATGCCCCTTCTAGACTCTCTTGGTGAGAACTAAAAGGTACCTAGTTCATGAACTCTGTTAACATGAGCGAGGTACCTTTTAGTTTGCACCAGTAGGGTTTATTTTGGGGGCGGGGGGAGGAAAAGCATGGCACGTTAGAGAGCTCTATAATTTACATCCCTGTAGTGTGGACTGTGGCGCCATGTAGAAACCCCTGGATCATCAGAAACGAAGAATAAAAAGAGTACAGTAACTCCTCACTTAATGTTGCAGTTATGTTCCTGAAAAATGCAACTTTAAGTGAAACAATGTTAAACGAATCTAACTGTCCCATAAGATTTAATGTAAATGCGGAGGGTTAGGTTCGGTTCCAAGGAAATTTGGAGACACGGCGCTTCCCCGCTCCTGCCCCTCCCTCCCAGAAAGTCCTAAGCGCCGCCAAACAGCTGTTTAGCAGCGTTCAGGATTTTCTGGGAGGGAGTGGGAGGAGTGGAGACGTGGGGCTTTTCTGCTCCTCCCCCTTCCTCCGAGCACTTCGTGCTTAGGACTTTCTGGGAGTGAGGGGCAGGAGCGGGGAAGCGCTGCATCTCCCCTCCTCCCCCTCCCTCCCAGAAAGTCCTAAGCACCGCCAAACGGGGGGGAAGTGCTGGGAGGGAGGGGGAGGAGGCGGAGAAGTGGAACTTGTGCAATGCTCCTTTGTAAAGTCGATTCTCTTCCACAGAATCTTACAAGCAGGCAGCCAAACGACGTTATAAGGGAGCATTGCACAACTTTAAACGAGCATGTTCCCTAATTGGGCAGGGACATAACATTGAAACATTAAGTGCGACAATGTTAAATGAGGAGTTACTGTAATTGGCTGAATGGTGGATCACCAGCGAAATCAGAAAGGTTCAGTTATAAGTGGTGGAGAGAGAAAAGAATAGACATCAGGTAAGCCCCCCCTCCAGAACATTAAGGAATGGCCTTTAGAATCACAATCTCAAAAGCTTCTGATCCATGCTCAATATTACTCTAAGTCAGAGGTCCCCAAACTGTGGGGCAAAAAGAATGAAAATTGTTGATGCCTGTGACCCAATAATTATATCTTTTGACTAGAGTTTTCATAAAATACATTCTTGCTTATCCCACTTTACATAACTCACACTAGACACTGGCCTTAGTAAGCCTATGGCAAGGAGTGTGGGAGGTAGGGCAGAGGGTAGGGTGCGGGGGTGAGGGCTTTGTCTGGGGGTGAGGGCTCTAGGGTGGAGCTGGGGATGAGGGGTTCAGGGTGCAAGAGGGGGCTCAGGGGTGGGGTAGAGGGTTGGGATGTGGTGGGGGTGAGGGCTCAGGCTCTGGGGGCACAGGTTCTGGGGTGGGGCCGGGGATCAGGAGTTTGGGGTGCAGGCAGGCTGCCCTAGGGCTGGGGCCAGAGGACTCTCCCCAGCCCTCTCCCCCCGCCAGCAGCAGCTAGCTCCCCCCATGGGCAGGCAGCACGGAGCTCCAGGGGAAAGGCCTCTCTCTCCCCCTCTGCACGGAGCTCCGGTGGAAGGGTCCCTCTCTCCCTGATGGCAGCAGCGAGCTCCGGGGCCGGGGGAGAGGCCCGCAGCAGCCCTGCAAGCCCCAACTTGCTCCCGTCCCAACTCACCCCATACCTCTCTCCTCTCCAGGTCCTTGCTGCGCGGCCCTTTAGAGCTGCTGCGCAGCAATGATCATTATAATTTGAATTAGGAATGTGACCCAGTGCCTGACATTCTGACACCCAATAATGGGTCACAACCCAATACTTCAAAAAACACTGCCCTGGGGAATGCAGAGGAATGTTTGAGGGAGTGGGGGGCGCAGCTGGGGTCTGGGGCAGCCTCCATGGGAGGGAGCGCAACCCACCTCTGCTTCTGGGTCCGGCTGCTGGCATCCTGGCTGCCGGCCCCGCACCCACGGCCCTGGCTGCGGCCAAGGCTCCACTCCCGGCTCTGCCCCTTACCCCAGCTGTAGTCCCAGCCTCGGTGCCCTTACCTCTGTCCACCTTTCCCCCGGGAGCCGTGGCCCTGCTCCCAGCTCCAGGGTGGGAGTGGGGAGGGAGAGACAGAACTGAGACAGAGGTAAGCGGGGGCATGAGGTAAAAAGTTTGGGGACCACTGCTCTAAGTTTTACCCAAATGTATGCTATCAAAGAATAATCAGCAATCTCACCCATATTTATGATTGCAGCAGCCCTATTTAGAAAATGACATTGAGATGAACAAGAGAAAAATGAGATTTCTCATAAATATGGCAAAAAAGACATAGGATGTGGGGCCATCAGGCAGAGCAAGTTTGTCACTCATTTTTTTCAATACCCGTACTCTAAATCCCAGCTATTGTCTTAAGAAAAAGACACACAGTTTTTTCCATGCATCAGAACAACAAAGAGAATTATCATCTCTCATCAACAATCCACAGTGAGAACGGCACTGTACTGTTTTTCAGGAAGGAGCTCAGGGGAAAAAAAGAGTTTATAGACACATACTTGCAGAATGCGGTCTCCTTCTCGGATCCGGCCATCTCTGGCAGCAATGCTGTTTGGATCAACCTGCATAGGACAGTATTCAAAAACTGAGCATGAAAAGATATTAACTTCAAACAACTCAATTTGTAGAATTTGTAAAAATGCCATTGTTTACATTGTGGAAAGACAGTTTAAATCTTTATTCAGTCAGATGAACATAGCAGTTCTGCGAATAATCACAGAACCTTGTTATAAAACAAATCTAAATACAGAGAGGGTTGAGCTGGTGTATGATTTTCAGAACAATATTTTTCCACATGACTGTCAAGCACTAACCTTCAGCTGTCATAGAGCAGAGTATTAATGACAGAATTCTTAGGCTCTGGAAATTCACTTTGGGCTGAGGTGATTTTGAAGTCTTGCTAATGAGTGGTTGATATCTCCACACAGCAGGTTTATGTCTGCTTAAGGAGATGGTATAATCTCCTTTTCTGAAAACATTTATTTTTAAATGATTGTATCAGCTATCAAGCTGTGGATTTTTCAGTTCCCAAAGAATTACAAGAAAAACAAAGAAAGATCTACAGTATAGAGATCATTCATGGATCCTCTGCACCGGGTCTGATTTAAGTTGCTTAATTTAAAGTTAGCTTAGCATAAATAGCTATTTAGGGCTCCATTAACAGTTTATCAGAGTCACAATAGCTCATCCTTGAGCAATGACCTGCTCTTCATAGGTGCAATACTATCTATCACCTTTCACTTGATGGTTATCTTAAACCATTTATTTTACCTTGTCATGCCAAGAGCAATTTTTCAACCTAAACATTTTGAGCATTGCATTTGGTTTGCTGGTTACATCTTGTACAGATATTAGATATTATTTTCTTATTGTGCATTGCAGACAAAAAATGAGGCTGAAGAGTTTAATTAAATATACTGTGACAAAGTTCCTCCTCTATCTTGCAAAAAGAAGAACAGGAGGACTTGTGGCACCTTAGAGACTAACAAATTTATTAGAGCATAAGCTTTCGTGGACTACAGCCCACTTCTTCGGATGCATATAGAATGGAACATATATTGAGGAGATATATATACACACATACAGAGAGCACCTCTATCTTGGTGGGTCCTGCGCTTATTGGAGGATTTTCTTGCCTCAGAGATTCACCATGTGAGTTGGGGAACAGCCCAGAGACCTTTCGCTCTGGAAGAACCCACAGTCCAGGTCAATTGGGAGGTTTGGGGGGAACCTGGGCCCGCCCTCTACTCCGGGTTCTAGCCCAGGGCACTGTGGACTGCAGCTGTCTATAGTGCCTCCTGTAACAGCTGCATGACAGCTACAACTCCCTGGGCTACTTCCCCATGGCCTCCTCCAAACACCTTCCTTATTCTCACTACAGGACCTTCCTCCTGGTGTCTGATAACACTTAGTCCTCCAGCAGCATACCCTTTTACCCTCTCCCGCTCCGCTCCTTGCACCTCTTGCTCTCAGCTCCTCACACTCACACCACAAACTGAAGTGAGCTCTTTTTAAAACCCAGGTGCCCTGATTAGCCTGCCTTAATTGATTCTAGCAGCTTCTTCTTAATTGGCTCCAGGTGTCCTAATTAGCCTGCCTGTCTTAACGGGTTCTAGCAGGTTCCTGATTACTCCAGTACAGCCCCTGCTCTGGTCACTCAGGGAACAGAAAACTACTCATTCAGTGACCAGTATATTTGCCCTCTACCAGACTCCTGTACCCCACTGGTCTGGGTCTGTCACAATACGCAGTGTTGTTGTAGCTGTGTTGGTCCCAGGATATTAGAGTAACAAGATAGGAGAGGTATCTTTTATTGGTCTAACTTCTATTGGTGAGAGAAAGACAACCTTTTGAGCTTACACAGAGCTCTTCTGACCTGAAGAAGACCTCAGTGTAAGCTTGAAAGCTACTCTCTCTCACCAATAGAAGTTGGTCCAATAAAAGATATTACTTCACCCACCTTGGGTCTCTAATAGAATTAAACTTCCTTTGAAGAAAGGGCTGAGATATTCCAAGCAGAGCAATACCCTCCATTTGGAAAAAGCAACATATTTTAGCTATAAAGGTATAAGATCCCTTTACCTTTTTTTCCCTCACAAGGCCAAACAGATATTAATAGTAGTGCTTATATACCTGTGGGAAGAGTTATTCTTAGCAAGTTTTATACTAATCCCTAATTTTATATCTAAGGCTGTGGTTTTCACATACTTTGAGAGTGTTGTTTGCAATCACAGAACATTCTTTTTCCACTCCCATTTGTACGTGATTCACTTTATGGCAATGCAGGACAATTCATTCTGCTAAACTCACTCCACTTCTGGCATTCAGATTTTTGTGCTATGTCACCTGAAGGTGACAAATTGTGTATCAAATTCACTCACGGCAATCAACCCCCAGCTTGGACTCATAAAATGTTTGTCTTCTCATCTAGAAAAACTGCTCTCTTTAAAATTATTGGAGACTAACATTAAATTAATGCACCTGAAAGTCTTTCTAAGCCTGATATTGCAAGGTGCTAAATACCTCTTAGGGGGTGCTGAATACTCTCACTTATAATATATATATGGAGATATACCTATCTCATAGAGCTGGAAGGGACCTTGAAAGGTCATTGAGTTGAGTTGAGTCCAGTCCCCTGCCTTCACTAGCAGGACCAATTTTTTGCCCCAGATCCCTAAATGGCCCCCTCAAGGATTGAGCTCACAACCCTGGGTTTAGCAGGCCAATGCTCAAACCACTGAGCTGTCCCTCCCCGCACTTCCCATTGAAGTAGATGGCAGTTGAGATTGTTCAACACCTCAAGGTGTCAGGATCAGGCCTTCTGTTTGTTAGCTTGTAAAACAAAGAAGAGTGCTAGGACAGACTAGATTTTCTGACAGATTTATCTCACAGATTATTTTATGCTGTTCCCCTCTTCCTTGAACATATGTGATCATTGTAAAAATAAATTAGCCATTGTTATTGTTAACATGACTGCAGTAATGGGAGAACACAGAAGTGTGGAAATCAGAACTTTTGCTGACTTTCCACATATTTGTGGGATTTCATTCAAATTTCAGAGAATGCTTCGATTTTGCACTTTTCCTAATTATGATGTTGTATTTATAGCATCACAATAAACAAATAAGCTGGTAATAATTATATTACTTGGGCAACATAATTTACTCTCCTAATTGAAAGTGACAAGTGCTGGCTGACAGCCAGTATTACTGCAGTCAGGTCTCAGAACACTTGTTTCTATTTTTCCATTGAGTCCCCCCCCCCACCACAACTTTACCTCACTGACATAGATTCCTGTGTCTTCCTCATCATCTGTTCTGTAGCAGACAGTTAGCCCCAGCTTCTCTTGACTGCTAACACGACACAGCTCGACCTCCTATGAGAAAACACACAAACACAGTGTGGCATTTGTCTTGGGAAGAAATTCTGCAGTAGAATGGAGAACTAAGTCACTGAGATTCTCTTGGACAACCATAGAAAAGTTTTAATAATCTCACTCAATACCATACAATATGTCTCCCCATCCACATTATACCTTTCATTTTGTATTAACAATCAAAAATATGCAAATCATGGGATGAGTAAATTGTAGCTGCCTTTGGACAGTCTCAGTCTGCAGCATTGTGTGCATTCTTATGAGGAAAACATCACTAATAAATAAAGGAAAGAAGTCTAAATATATTAAAGTTGTAAACTACATAAGCACAGTTAGGTAAGTCATGCCTAACTCCGAGAAATATGGATTGCACTGATTTTGCAGGATTTTTTGGGGCGGGGGGGAGGGGGGCGGCTTTTGGATCATAGGAGCTGCTTACAGTATATTACATAGTCATTTTACTCCTATCACATCAACAACTGATTTACAGGATAGAGGACAGGCTGGCTACTCATCAATCGATCCATCACAAACGAGTGTCACTCTCTTTCACTTGCAAGCTAAGTCATAAAGCAAAACCACCGCCTTCTGTTAATAACATAATTCATCCCACAGCCAGTTCAGTGCCATAGCTTAATAGTAGGTGTTGTGAGATAATTGATGGATGTGTCAAGGATTATCCTGGGGAGTTGCTGTGGTATCCTCTCTGTGACCCGTGCCACTCTTGTATTCACACACTACTGCAAGGATTTTTGTACAAAATATGCCTTGTGGCTCATCATTTGAAAACTAATAACATTGTGGTTAATAATATAGTTGTGAAATATATGTAACAATGCTCTATGTGAAATTATGGACACTCACTAATATTATGCTTTAGAGTCTGTGAATAAAAAGTCTACAGACCAGGTATGTCAGGAGGACAGAACAGGTTTTCTCCAGACAAAGTAAACATCTCAAATCAGGTGTGGCCCAAAGTCTATGGTCTGTTGTGGAGGCTGCAGCTGGAGAGAGAATTAGCATAGTAGCAACCACCAGTGGGGGAAGAACCAGGATGAAGTCTCATCTTCCATACCTCATGTCTCCTTTATTGAGCTTGAACTAATGAACTTTATCTGGGTGCTCTTCAGAAGAATAAATTTCAATGGATCACTGAACTATAAAGGGAGGGGGAGCAAACCCCTAAGTTATTTCACTTTAAGGAGACAAAGAAACCAAGCAATTTGATCTCTGTGAAGAGTCCTGGCCAGTCAAAAGCTGGAAAGAAGATTATGGATGAAAGAAACCATCCTGAACAAAAACTAGGCTAAGTTTTAGACTTTTAGATGGGTGTTTTCACTTTTATTTGCCTGTAGCCGTCTTCACCTTTATCTCTTTTACTTGGGATCACTTAGTCCATGCTCTTTTGTTAAAAAATTTGTACTACTTTTGTTATAAATCATCAATGCTGGGTAAGTTCAGTTGTGTACTTCTAGTAAGCTGACAGGTTGGAATGTTATATTGTCTCTGTAGAGGGACATGAACCTAATACTTTTTCTGTGAGGATCCAGGGAGAGGGACTGCAGGATGACAATTTTGGGCAAATTTGGGACTGAAAGGCTCCTCAGGTCAGAATGCAAGGAGCATCCAAATTGGGCAAAGCCAGGGTGAGACTTGTGGGCTGCTGGCAGGCTGTTGGGGTCAGAGCTCTGAATCAAAGCTGCACAGTCAAAAGACACTGTGGGTTACAAGACAGACTTTGGTTGAACTACTTACTGCCCTGGTGAACCCCAAATGTCATACTCCACAATTATGAAATGATGCTGAAAACATATTCTTAGTGCCAGATGTGCCAGCTATGGTGTCTCAGGAAAAGTACAAGTGTCCGGGGCAGAGCAGAGTCATTACTACTACACACAAGTACAAATATCTAAGATTTCACATGGGAAACTTATACCAAATACAAGTGTTGAATATTGTGAAATAAATAACCTTAGTAAAGAATAATCTATTATATAATAGAGTGCCTTAAGTTTGTTTGAGAAACACTGGATTTCTTTACAGCCATTCTGAAAACTACATATGGGGCTAGATTGCGTCTGGCTCTCCTGAATGCACGAATGGGAAGAAGAGAAGAGGCCACAAGGAGCCTTCTCCTCCCACTATTACCTGGGCATGATACCAGCCCTTGTATCCAGGAAGCACATGGACTATCCCAGTTTAGTATTTACAGCAGCACTAGCCTTCCCAAAGAGAGCAGGAAGGGTGATGGTGGGTCTGCATTCTCTTCTTCTCCTAAGCAGCAAACAGAGGTAATCCTATACCAGGGGAATGAAGGCTGCCCTTCAATTTGTGAGTCACAGCTATACTCCCAACACGCCAGAGACTGCACTGACCTAGGGCACAATGCCTTTAAAGGATAGGAAGGATGGTCTAGGGACAGGGCACTGCACTGGGACTCAAGAGACCTGACTTCTCAGTCAAGCAAGCCACTTAATCTGACCTGTGCCTCAGTTCCCCATCATAACATAGGGATAGTACAGGGGTTGGCAACCTTTCAGAAGTGGTGTGCCGAGTCTTCATTTATTCACTCTAATTTAAGGTTTTGCGTGCCAGTAATATATTTTAATGTTTAAGGTCTCTTTCTCTAAGTCTATAATATATAACTAAACTATTGTTGTATGTAAAGTAAATAAGGTTTTTAAAATGCTTAAGAAGCTTCATTTAAAATTCAATTAAAATGCAGAGCCCCCCGGACTGTGTGAGTGCAGTGTGAGGACCCGGGCAGTGTAAGTGCCACTGAAAATCAGCTCGCGTGCCGCCTTCGGCACGCATGCCATAGGTTCCCTACCCCTGGGATAGTACCTCCCTCCTCACAGGGATATTATAAGGATAAAGTCCATTAATGATTGTCAAGTGCTCATATACTATGGTGATGAGGACCACATAAATGGATACATGGAATTGCTCATTCTGAGGCAGTACATCATACTTCCTCCTCTGGACGATTATGGCTTACAATGACAATTTTGCCAATGATTTTCATGACTTTTTGATTTTTATTAGAGAAATTTTGTAAAAGGGCACTACTGCTTATTGTATTCCTGTTCCTTCCCTAGTATATAAGCACGTGCTCAATATGTGTAGTGTAAACTGTATAAACTTCTGACTTGATTTAAGACATTTCACATTTTAATAAGCTAATAAGAAAATAAGGGGAAAACTGTCAGATTATTTGTTTTTTCTTAGAAAGGAGAGTTGCTTTAAATACCTATTTATATGCCGAGGAGTGGAAAGGGCAGGGGCACGTGCTATATGTTGGGTTTTAAAGAAGGAAGCTGAAATCTTATTTCACGAAGAAAGAGAATTACTAACAGTGACCTGATTTTGGCATTGGGAGTGAAAGTATGTATATTGAATAGAGGTCTATTCAAAACCCGTAATAACTGATGCCTCCGGAGGGAAAAAGAACACTTGACTAGAATGGTAGCATTAGGAAGGAATTACAGTAACAAAACAGCTTCAATTACACCAACAAGGTGTACTTTTAAAAGAATAAAGAAGCTTGTGGTCCCTTGGAGGCCTATAAGGAAGCCTAAATACACCATAAAGGACTGAGACTGGGACCTTTAAATCAAGGCAAATGAGGAGCTGTGCACAAGCTGAAATCCATTGACTTTCATTGTCCCGCCAACACAACCTTCAAAACTCCCTGAACCGAGGATGGACAGGCACCCCAAGGACTGCTTTGAACATAATTTCTTCAGTTTATAGTGACCTTGAAGTTCTTTTGGATGATTCATCTCAAAATGCTTTTTACAATAAAGCTGTATGAATGTTTCACATTGGAAATTAACTGAACCCTTATGGAGGATGTTGGTTTAATGAGCAGAATTTAACTATTCAGGGCATGAAACAAATGAACAGGGACACATATTCTGGTCTTGGAGTCTGAAAAGTTTGTTAGGACTGTCACTGTATGAGGAAATGACTTGTTTGTATTTGATCACCATCCTTTACCGGATGGAATGCATCAGGCCTGCTTGTGTATTCTGCCCGAGTTGCTGGGGCTCTCCCTTAGCTCAACAGTAGAGACCTGAGATTGTGTAGACAAAAATCTTAAATTAATTTCCCATTGGATGTGTATAAAGGTGGCAAATGACTGTGGTACCCATGTGTACGTGGTCCTGGATAATTATAATCTCTCAAAGAGATTGGAGACTCCTCTGAATATTCCACTTTGAAACACTGATATCTAGAGCTGGAGCAGAATTTCATGTTCTTTACTTTGTAGTCACCCAGTCTCTTACCCAGTTTAGGAAAGAAGCTGGAAAAGGTCTGATGTTTGGTATGGAAACAAGTCTTCCAGAGCCAGAAGATTGCACATACAAGCTGCTAAACTAAACCTAATTTCCTTTTCATGGTGTACAAGGCACATTAAGTATCCTACAGCATTACTCAAACCCAAGCCTAAAGTGACATTTTTTGAGAATTCACAGAGATTCTGCATAATACATTAAATCACCTACCAACCCAAGAGTCAAGAAGCCTTGCACCTGGGGTAAACTGGCATGGCTCTAATAACTTCAATGGATCAACACTGAATTGCACCAGCTGAGGAGCTGGTCCATAAAGCTCATTTCTCATCCAGAGAAACATCTGACAATGGGCTTTGTGACAGCTGTCGGTGATTTTTCCCCACTGATCTTTAACAGAAGAAAGAATGAGTCTGATGGCAGCAGTGCATATGTGAAAATCATGATTTTCCTCTTTAAATCCCTCTTGGGTACACATACATCTGTTTCCTCTTATTTTGTATTTTTTGTTGTTTTGACATTTGACGACTCAATGGCCTTTCTTCAGAATTCAGTATGAATCCTGTGAAAATTAAGACAAAGTACAATGGCCCACATCTGCGGAAAGGATGGGAACAGAGGGCAGAGGCTGGAGTGAGGATCTCCCCCTAGCCTCCGAGAGGCAGCCATCTTCCAACGTGAGAAGTATTCTGTTGCTAATGATAG